CGGGGACGGCGGCGAGAGCTTGGGGACGGTGACATGGTGCTCAGGGTTGGCTGCGGGAGCTCAGGGATGCTGGCGCGGTGCTCGGGGATGACAGAGGGAGCTTGGGCGGGCGGCGGTGTGGAGCGCGGTGATATCGGGTAGCAGTAGCGCAAGCGCAAAAACAATCCTCAGGGTCACAACAGTGGCCCCGAGCAATGGGGCTAGTCACGGCCGTGTGACTGGCACCGGTGGCTGGAATTTGTCGACGCGGAGGTGAGGTGAGGCGACGCAGCGGTTTGTGGAAGTTCAGTGAGCGACGGCTTGGTTTCCGCCGTGACGTTTTTGTTTTTGGTCGGCTGCTAGTGGGGACCCAAATGCATATCACCTGCAGCAACTTTTTGGTCACGGCCAAAATATATGGCCGCCCTATAGGTATAGGGCCGTTGTTGAAGCTGTTTTTTTACACCCGAAAGGTAAAAAAACTATTTTTCGGTCACAACTACGTTTTTTGGTATGTTGTCGGAGATGCTCTTAAGTCGACTCCTAATTTTGCTAGGTGAGAACTCCCGTGAGAATGGACTCTTCCGTAAGTAGGAAGGGGTCATCTGGCTAATTGCTCTTAGAGCAACTCTAGCTGACCAGTCATATTCGCAACCTCTAAAACAGCTATGAGTGCCCTCCACAAACTCAGATTCATCATTCTGCAATCTCTATATTTGTGGCCAACTTGTTAGCCTCTATGCCCTTTCTTCAAATGTAAATATTGCATTTTCATCGACATTATGTTCAGTATCACATGCAAAACAATGCAATTTTTGTCAGCAGACCTTGAGTTCAACATCATATAGGCACTACAAAAAAAATTCATTGAGCTGGCATGAGAATTTTCTAAAAGGAATGTTTTGTTGGCGACCGCCTTTCGAGGTGACCTCACAGCAAAGTGGAGGCTTTGGCTGCGTCGACTTGGGCGTGTGTCTTATATGTGGGAGATGGCCATAATGGATTCTCCCTCCATATGCACTGCTTCGACTTCGATGTCATCCTTCACACGGGGACACAACGGCCGATGAAGGAAGGTGCTCGTCCTTGTTGGTTGATTTAACTTCAAGTTAGGTTTCAACATCGACCTTTTCAGAGTACCACTACACCTTCTCCTGATATTGATGGGTGTCACGTTCTCTTTAGTGACAGATTCATGAGAAAAGGGGTGCAACATAGAGGGAATGAGGTGAGTGTGAAGGAAGATAGGTGGCGGAGAGGAAGATGGCGAGTGCACTGGCATGCTCCAGGATGATGCACTCCGGTGAGAAACAGGGCGATAACGACCAGGTACGCGATGGGGACCATTAATGGGGAAACATGTTGGAAATATGTGCTAGAGACAATAATAAAGATGTTATTATTCTATTTTCATGTTCATAATTAACTTTATATTTTTGTGTTATATATTGAAATGGTTCCTGAATGTGAGATTCAGGGGAAAACCTATTTGCATGTCTGGAAAGATAAACACCTAATAGATCCCTAGTCCGACCTCTAGACTGCAGATATCGAATGACTACTTTAGGGTTGCCAAATGTCACACCGTAACTGGGTGATTATAAAAGTAGCTTTTAGGTATACCGGAAAAGTATGTTGTGGTATTCGATATGTCAATATTAGGATTTGCTCCTCGCGCGATGGAGAGATACACTCTGGGCCAACTTGGTATTACAATGTTCATCGCCTCGCTAGACATAGTGACTAAGGTGTTAGTCACGGGGACACCGGAATCCAGAAACGTGTACAGAGTACAAGCCAGTAATGAGGAAACTAGGTATATATAGTGATCAAAGTGTTGATCATGGGGATACCGAAAAAGTCTCACCTCGGATTTTGTAACATGTGATGAAGCACAGGGAATGGTAATAAGTTCGCTCAATAAAGATCTTCGCTAGTATGCGGGAATTATTATGGGTGTCCATATACCGCTAATAATTATTGATTGGAAGGTGTCCAAATAACATCATGACTGACTGACGATAATTATGAGGACTTTACTTACAACCTTATACTTGCGCCGAGAGTCTTGTCTTGATTTCCAACATGGTCTTGTAGACACCATTATGATGTGTTCTCAGTGCGTCCAAGTAACATCATGACTGATCAACAACCTGCATCGTGAGTCTGTTGTCCAACATG